GCCTTCGTATTTTTCGGTCTTTGTGATGTTGAGACGAAAGGCGGGGGGGGGCGCGCGGTGGGGAAGGGGTGAAGGGGAAGGGGCGAAGGGGAAGAGGGCGAAAGGGGAAGAGGCTAGGTGGAACGGGGAAGAAGGGCTTGGGTACTGTACACGGTACGGGACTTGGGTACACGGTACGGGAGTCCCCAGGTTGGGGAATCGGACGGTGGGAGAGAGAGCGGGAGGAAAGGTATGATACGGTAGGAAATTTTACGGATACTGTATAGTGCCGTCTTTGTTAGTGCCAGCTCTGATATAGTGCTACCCTTCTGCGGGTGGTGCCACCAGCACGAATTTTGAGCCAAAAATGAAGGGTCTCCAGATAGGCAGTTGGATGGACGTAGTAGACCTATTGAACAGTTGTCAATTGACAACGCACATATTATTGCCAAGGGTACTGCCCGAGAGCCGACGCCGCCGCGGAAAGATATTATGCAGTTGCTAACTCGAATAGAGACTATAGCGGAAAAAGGCAGGGTCCATGATGTAATTGGACATCTGCAAAAGCGTAGGCTGGCATTTATGGCTGCGAAAAAGGAGGAAGTCAATGCGACGGCTCGGCAGCTACTACCCTTCGAAGGGTACCCTTTAGGTATTACCTTAAGGGTAATAACAGAAATGCTTGATTAGACTTGTTGCGTTCATGAGTTGCTCCATTGGTGAAGTGCCTGAGACCTTGAGCAAGTCAGAAGGGCTGCACCGCTTCAAGGTGCCATCTTAACAAATATCTCCGAGTTTAGATGGAACTGCGTTCACGAACGCACCGTGTCAATCCTCTGACCTTTGTTACGTCAAAAGGCCAAGTCTGCTGTTCTATCGCCCTGGTGATGATGCCTTGAAAAAACTGATGCTCCAGGAAGTCCAGAAATTAGAAGCGTTGAAAGAATCCCCGCATCCGAACGTAGTTAAGTATCATGGTTGTATCGAGAAAGATAATCTCTTAATTGCACTGTGTCTGGACAAGTATTCAGAAACCCTCGCAGAAAGAGTTCGGCGCAAGGGTACAGAGTTAAGCAAGAATCACTGCTTGAAGGGAGTTCAGAATGGTATCGAACATCTTCATTCCCTCGGGTACTGCCACAATGACATCAATCCGACCAATATCATGTTTAAAGAGGACGACACCCCTGTCATCATTGATTTCGATTCTTGCGTACCCACTGGCCAAAAGTTGGGATCCAAGGCTGGGACAATGCTTTTCTCAGACGAGCATGCAACTCACTCCATGCCTGAGAATGACGTTTACAGCTTGTGCTTGGTGAAAGAATTTATGGAAGACCACGCGAACATTTGAAGAAATCAATTCCTGGTCCGAACTGTGGAGGTAAAACAACTGTCTGTGGCAAAGACATGCAAATATCGATCAATGACCATAAAAGGTGCCTCGCTAAGTTCTATGCCAGATCCCCCGTCCACTCTAGCTCCAATACCACCGTTTTCGGTCGTCGTATTGACAAAGAACAGGCTTTCCTCGCAGTCAACAAATACGTCCACACCACTGAATCAATTCATCCCCAGTAACATTGGGTTTCTTGTCAAAGCTGTCAAGGAACGCATGTTGGCAAGCCTTGTTCCAGTTCGTAGGTTTTACGGAACTGGTTAGTTAACACGATTCTGAATGCACCAGAGGAGACCAGCTGTGCCGATGCTGCTTTCTATCCCGAAAGAAAACCAACCGCCCTGCTCTAGGTTCCGCCTAGGGTAAGACTTTTCGAACCGCCGTTTTGAGGTTTTGCATGGTGCTGAAGATGATAGGGAAATTCGGTCGGGAAAGGCTCAGGGTAAGGCCAAAGCAGGCGCTCTAGATAATCATCCGGATGACACATTCGGACAGAAGACAGACGAGGAAGAAGACTTGGCCAGCCCTAATATTTTAATACGAATTTAATAGGAAGCGGTCCAGGGGTATGGGGATGAGAGAGCAAATGTTGTCGCCGCTCGAGGCTTTATGGAGCTTGACATAGTTCCCGCAGAAGCACAGAGAATTCGCGCCACGGCACTGTGCTTCTTGAAGTCTGTTATCCGCTTGCAATGAACTCATTTTTTCCGAACACCTCGAAGTCTTCGTCCTTTTATCAACGTCTGATTTTGTTTCGTACGGGTCTGGGTTGGCAGAGCTTGCCTATCTAGACCTTTACAAAGGTGCCGTTTACTTGCAGGTTCACCTGCAGCTTCTCCTGCAACTCTTAATGTCGCTCGGTTTTGTTATTGTTGCCTTTGCAAGGCAGAAGCACGCCTCCAAGCGTGAGAAGCTCAACAACACAACCCATGCTTCGGGTAGCAACTTTTTCAGAATGCATAAAGCTTGCTTCTAAACTAATTGTTCACTACTTGAACCTTACGTATTTTTCGTGCTAAACCCCATGTTTACAGCAACCTCACCCGCCTCCCCGTCGCGTTTACCATTCCGTCAAGTCCGAAGCGTCGCGCCAGCAATGCGCCCTTCCCGCCCGCCCTCCCCCGCACACACACGTGTCCACGAGTGGCACGTGTCCACGCGTGGCACGTGCCGGCGTGCGGCGCGCGGCCGCCTGAAAACGGCCCACGTCTGCCGCACAATCCGCGTCCGCCACGGCACCCTTACACCGATCGTCATTGTCACACAGCGCCCCGCCCGCCGTACCGCCGTCGATGCACACCACGCCCGCCGACAGCCCGATTGGTTGCTAATAGAATTCCTACTCTATGACCGTA